AATTGTTATCATTTTCAACAACTTGTTTCTCTGAGTTAGAAGTTTTTAAACACTATTTACAAAAACTTTTCTGCAAAATAAAAAGTATAGAGCAAGCGTTGGTACAAGACTCTGAATACCACCGTTTAATTTATTATTTCACATCTGCATTGAGGGTGTGAACTCTAGACCCTGCTGGTTGAATTTATACAGTAAGTACACAACAAGTTTGAAATTGCAAATATGCAGCAGAACAACTACTCCAATATAAGCTGTTTGTTTGGGACCCACGGACAAGGCTGATTTCACCTATAGAGGCAAATAGGACAAAGAGACTGGAGGAGCAAAAGGAATTCAGATCCTTGGGGACACAGGAAGACCCTTGCTGGTATCCCACCCTGGGCAAGCTGCAGAGCCACTGCGGAAGCAAGGGTGCCAGGCGACGAGTATCTCCCTAGAGGGGTGCCCGCTGTCCTCCCTGGACTGTGTCAACAGTGACAGAGATGTCAAGACCCCAGAAAGCAAGCAGAGAAAGGATGAGGGGACCCCACGTGAGGCCCAGGAACAGAGGGATGAAGGTGATATTTGTGCTTTTTCAAAAAAGTCCCAGTTTCTCTTCCTGACAGCAAGATGAGCTGCTGTTGTTGAAGAACATTTGAAAAGTACAGAAAATCACTCTGAAGAACGTAAACTCATGATTCCACAGAGCAGCACCGTCACAAGTGACATGTTGATGGCTCCTTGGAGAGGGGCTCTGTGTTGGTCCTTGTCGCCGACGTCCCTGCACGTCGATTTATTACAGTTTGCGATGCATGCTGCAACGCTGCGCCCTGGCCTTGGACACTGGATTTATACATGACGTTCCTCAGATGCCTCTGGGTCACCGAACAGTCTTCCTCAACCCGCCCTTGACTGATGATGGCCTAGGTCTTTGCTGTGTTATTCTGTGGACACTGATTTCTTCCCCCTCCTCATGCCAGAGCCTGGGGCTCTTTCTCACTTTCCATGGGTATAAAAGATGCTTGGGCTTCATGTTTTACATCTTAAGATAAATTCCCAAACATGGACCTGCTGGGTCCCAGGATGTGAACATGTTCAGACTCAAGGCGCCCAAGTGACCATCCTAAACACGCCACCTGCTCACACTGCCACCAGCAGTCTGAGAGCACCCGGCCCTCTGTCATAAACTGAATTAAATAATACTTGGAAACCCCTGCACAGTGCTATCACAGAGGCCAATTCCACATTATTTGAGGAGTAAACCACAGAGCAGAGTATAATTTCGAGACTCAAAGATGGGACAAACAGGATCCAGGAAGATGGACAGGATGCGCTGATGGCATGACCCGCTGGCTTCCAGGCTGGCTGGGCCCCAAGGGCAGCAGAGTGTCCCCAGGGCAGGGCACGTGGTGAAGTTTGAAGGAAGTAGGCACATGTATCCTGGAGAATAGATTTAGAGAGATGTGACAGCGCTCCTCAAATATTTAAAGGGCTGTCTCATAAAAAAGAACTAAAACATCCTCAGTGAACCCCGGGCGGTAGACCCAAGCTCAGGGCCCAGAAACCACAAGGAGACGGATTGAGGCTGAATATAACAAGTGTTCTCTATCAGTTGGAACCTTCTAGACGGCCTCAGAAAGGACGCACGAAATGGAGTTTACATCCTCTCTCTGGAGGCAGGGGGAACAGACAAGTAGACAGGCGGAAGGGTGAATATCTAATCCTGGATGTTACTTTGGTACTTGTTATTTGTCTAGGAGATCGAATTAAAAGAGCAGAGAGAGGACAATTTAAATAATAAATTAAATGACGCCCTGGCCCAGCTAGAAGAGATGCAGCAAGCGAAGATGGTCGAAAGTCGAAAAGCAGAGAACCTCGTCTTGAAATTCAATGAAACGTTAGTCGAGCTGGAAACAACCAAGACAAAAGTGGTAAGTCAGTGTCATCCTGGGACAGGGAGATATTTTCCCCCTTGGCATCCCATGATCAACTATCCTGGACTTGGCTGGCAGGATGACAGATACTGGGCAGGGTGACTTCCTGTGTGAGGCAGGATGACTTCCTGTATGAGGCAAGGTGACTGCCTGTATGAGGCAGGGTGACTTCCTATGTGAGGCAGGGTGACTTCCTGTGCACAGCAGAGTGGCCAGCAGCTTCCCTGGCTGACACCCACTGGAGGCCAGTGCTCCTTCCCCCATGGCTATAGTCAAAACTGTTCTCAGCCTTTGCCAAATGTCCCTTAGAGACAAAATCACCCCCTATTAACTGGCTTAGCATGAAATACCCAAAGCCCCATGCTGCCACCTTCCAAGCCCTTCTCAGCAGCATCCAGGGGACTCCTGGAGTCAAGGTCAAGGATCAGCCCCAGAATTTGGTGTCCAGGGACTATGCCACAGACTAAGACAGTGTGTGGTCATGGGGAGGGGCCATCGGTCCACTTGGGGGTCACTGGGAGTTTTTCTTTTCTTTTTTTTTAATGTATTTAGTACAGGGTCTCACTACACACATCAGACTCGCAGTGATCCTCCTGTTTTCATCCTCCCAAGCGCTGGAATTACAGGCATGCGCCACCACGCCCAGTTTCAATGGAAATCTCAGTGCACCCCGGGGGTGGTGCCAGCACGGTTTGCCGGTTATCAAACCTGTCCTGGCATCTGCCTAAGCAGGTGCTTTAATTCTCTGAGCTACCTGGCCACCCTTGGGAGTTTTTGTTTTTAAGAAACACAAACTCATTTGCTTTTTCCCTCATTCATTGTCCATTCATTCATTCATTCATTCATTCATTTATTCATACTGTTGATCAGGCATCTAGGTCTAAATGATACACATGCAGCAGTACGAAAGGCACATTTCTGCCAAGGAGTTGAGATTCTAGCACGAGTGAAATGTGCAGAAACCAAGTCTTTGCCGTTGGTGATAAAGGACTCAGGGATGGTAAGATCAAGAAAACAGAAAATGCATGAGACTGCTCTGTAGACAGTGGGCAGGGATTCTCTTTAGGGGCCAGGGAGATCGCTCAGCAGCATAAGTGCCTGCCTCGAAAGTGCAAGGTCCTGAGTTCAATCCCCGGTACCGCAAAAAAAAAAAAAAAAAAGGTAGGATGTAGGATCTGAGACCTCAAAGACAAGAAGCGGTCACCAGGCAAGGAGCTAGGGAAGGAGTTAGGAAGGAATGGTCACAGGGGAACAGCATGTGCAAAGGCCCTGAGGTGGGCCCCCTTTTAGCACCTGCCTGTTCTAAGGACCGGTCACTGCTGTTATCACCCTGTCTGCTGCCCAAGTCCCCTGTGCTCGGCTGCGTCTTTCCTAGGTCCTGATGGAGGAGCGGATCATGCTGCAACAGCAGACCGTAAAGTCCCTCCAGGAGGAGCGGGAATCCCAGAAACACGGATTTGAAGTGGAAATCACGGCGTATAAGGAGCAAATCAAGCAGCACTCCCAGACGATCGTGAGCCTGGAAGAAAGGCTCCAGAGAGTGACCCAGCATCATAAGAAGATAGAAGGAGAGATCGCAGCACTGAAGGACAGTGACTCAGGTAGGCTGAAGGCTGCGCTGGTGTCAGGCAGCCTCTGATGGGTGCCGGGATGCCCCAGGCCGGCTAATGAGAGAGAAGCTAGAGCTTGTCTAAAAGCACCTTCATCCTCCAGAGCCGCTTCTCAGTGCACACAGTGTGAAAAGCCCTCGAGGCCCATGCTGGACAGGAGTAATGACAACAACTTGAGACATCTTTTGTGCAGACTCAGTGAGACGTGCAAGCAGCTGCCTCTTCCTGGAAAGCCGCCTGGCAGGGGCCTTTCAAAGCCCCTCCATGCCGCTGGCCATTTGCACTTCGATGCACAGCCAGGGTGGCCTCTAACAAATAAGAAAAAGAACTCAGATGTGTGTCACTGATTTGCCCTGCATGACCAGGGCCATGTACTACAGATGCGAAGCCCTGGGGGAGAGCTCTGGAGGGTTCTGGGCCCAGGCCCAGGTTCTCAGTGGTGGCGCTATGGACGCTGGGATTGGATACGCCTTCTGTGGGGGGCAGGGCTGTGTCCTGGGCATGAGCAGCAGCCCTGGCCTGCACTCACTAGGTCCCATACTGCCAGCTGTGTTCACATTGCTGAATGTCCCTCTGGTTGGCAGCTTCAGAGTGTCTGCCAGGCCCCAGACTCTCGTGGGTACTGGGGACTCGGTGACGGGCAAAGCACACATTGTTCCTGCAGTTAACCAAATCATTATGCTGACAGGTTCCCCCGGATGGCAGGGCCCCCTTAGCAAGGACACAGAGCAAGGCTCAGTTTCCTAAGCCAGAGTCCAGGTCAGAGGGAAGATGTTCAAGCTGGACCTAGGGCGAGACCGCATCTTTGTCACCTCCACGCTTAGATCAGTGTCTGCCGCGCAGCAGGCATTGCATAGGTGTTTTGGTTTTTTTTCTAATTTGAGTCAAATGTGTTAATGGTGCAATTAAAATAAGGGCTCAACTATACCTTTAATATATGAATTTCTTCAAAGTCAGGCAAGGTGCTATTTTAAAGAAAAATCACTATTTTTTTTTTGTCTACAGATATAAGTTATATCAAATGTTGCCTAAGGTAATTTTGATATTCAGTGCAGCTTTAAACAAGAAATTGTAGGGCTGGGGAGATAGCTCAGTAGAATAAGTGCTTGCCTGGCAAGCGCCAGGTCCTGAGTTCAATCCCCAGTACCACAAAAAAGAAAAAAAAAGAACTTGTATTTACTTTTCAAAGCAAATTTCGAGTCCCAAACTTGTGAACTAAATCTTCTGACACAAATTCACAAGATGAAGTTGGCAACATGAAAGGAAGGTCACGTGTGTTCTGACATGTAGTATCTGGTGGGACGCAGACTCGATCTTGACTCCATCGGCCACCAGTGGAGTGGTTCGGTTTGGCCATCAGGAAGAACCGCCCACAGAGCTTTCCCGCAGGCCTAGATAAACGGCATTTCCCTTCTGTGGAGCTTCCTGCTGCACACAGGAACTCTGGGTGTTTGGGCCCATCCCATCTGGATTAAGGAGGAACAGTCAGTCCTTGTGTGCAATATTTGTCATTGTCACATGTTTGTGTCTCAGGAAACAGGATTAGAGGCAAGATGACCACCTCCCTGGTAAAAGGCTTGGGATGGTTTGATCTCATGGCTTTGCCTAAGGTTCACATAAATTCCAGTGTCTCCACCCCAGTGAAAGTTGTGTTTTACGGCAACTTGCTTCTAAAATGCACAAGTTAGTAACAGTGATTTGCAACACCTCTCCCACCATTGCAGCGGCTCGAAATCCCACTTCCCACGCGTGTTGCCGGGCTGACATCCTTGGAGCTTGGCGGGCTGCACTCATGTACGAAGTGTAGAGTGAAAGCCACTTGCATAGGTGTTTGTTGAGTGAATAAACAAGAGAAAGGGCAGAGCAGAGGTACGAACTGAGGAGTAAGTGGGGCACGAGGACAGGAAGGTGCTACACCTGGAGTCTTCTGGGACACTCGAGTGGGCGGAAAGGAGAAGGAAGTGCAGGCGGCATGGCCGAGGGCTGAGGGTGGCTGGGAACATGCACGGCCTCTGTATAAATGAGTCTACTCTCTGTTGCTGCCAACCCAGCCCCACAGCCTGGGTCAGGAAGAAAGGGAAGAGGTTTATTTCAGCTCGTAGTTCCAGCCCAAGGTGGTGAGGCCACCTCTGGTAACAAGGAGTGTGCGTGTGTGGGCCCCAGGCTCTGCCTCTGTGAAACCACCCAGGACCATCCTGGGGGCTGTGTCCCCCTGACTCCATCCAACCCTTCCCTTCCCATGGGCCCTGCCTCTGAGCACCACAGTGAGATTAAGTCTCCACCTCCTTAGCAGCTCTCTGGTGGGATTAAAAGTCACTATCGAATTTCAGAGGGAACAAACCAACCTCAAAATACAGCAGCCCCTTACCCAGAGAGGGCCGCAGCCTGGCATGCAGAGCACAGGGTGGGTCTAGGGAACAGGAGGACAGCAGCCCGCAGGGGCGGCCTCCACCAAGTTGTGAGGCACAGGCATGCTCCACAGCCTGAGGACCATAACCATGTCTGTGTATCCCTCTGGTTTAGCTCAAAAGGAGGAGCTGCCACCAAAGCCTCCAGCCGCCCCGCCCTCAGATGGCAATGCCAAGGACGTGGCCTGCGACCACTTGATGTGAGTACCCATGGACGAGGGCATCAGGTGGTCCCCATTGTGCCTGGGGGCAAGGACAAACCCCCCATATCTGGCCACATGGTCAGGACCTGAGGAAGGGAGTTGAGTCTCAAGTGTTCTCAGCGTCCTTTAACTCCTCAATTCCCTCCGCGAGGCAGGGCGGTGCGGAAAGACCCTGGTGGGTCTGTGCCCTGGGCAGGTCATGTCACTTCACTGAGCCTTGGCTCCTCTTTTGCAAAATAAAGACATGTGAGAGGTGATGAAAAATACAGTGGATTTTTAAAAAATATTTATAGTTCAGGGCCAGGGAGATAGCTCAACAGAATAAGTGTTTGCCTGGCAAGCTCAAGGGTCTGAGTTCAATCCCCAGTTCTGAAAGAAAAAAAAAAAAAAAAAGATTTAAAAAAAAGATTTACAGTTAATAACATGTTGCTTTAGTCCCTCTTCAAAATGCCACCTCTCACTAGAACACGCTTGTCCTGTCATCCTTGCCACTTTCCAGAGCAGCTCTGCAGTCCTCTTTCATGTGTGACTATACCTGTCATGGCTGCCTCAGAGTCCTCAGTTAATTAAAATGCTCATTTTTCCTAGCATTTCCACTTGAGGGGAAGAGCTGGAAGTCACATAGCACCAAACCCAGTGAATAAGATGGGTGGGAACCCACTGTAATTTGTTTTGTTTTGTTTTTTGGTAATTTTTTAAAATGTATTTAGTACAGGGTCTACAAGGTCTCACTACGTAGATCAGACTTGTGATTCTCCTGTTTA